TGCGAGTGTGTGAGTCGAAACCATACTATGCGGAGCCTTGCCAGCCTTGTGCGAGCGTGAGAGTCGAAACCATAACCACGAAGGACTCTTGGGAGCTGGGCCCCTTCCTCGGCTTCTCCCTCGCTTCACCGGCGGCCCTTGGCTGCGCAGAGCTCTGGGGAGAGGCCCAGGGGTTCTGAAAGACATATGAAATTACTGCATATCATATGTAGTGTGTTATTTTCTGCGTATATATATATATATAAAAGTAATTATATATACAGTTAGTAGTTTGAAGCAATGAAGGGGCGGGGGGTTGGGTTTCTTTTTGTTCCCATAGAGACAATAGCATAAGAGAAAGGCGTAGAGCGCTGCTGCCCGGGGCAGCAGCAGGTGAGAGACCCGACGAGTTCCGCCTGTTGCATGCAGGCTGCCAGCGGTGTGACCTTGGAGGGCTGGAGTGGCCAAGGCCAAGCAGTCGAGCAGCACACCTGTCTTAAGCAGTCAAATGGAACCGTTCCGCATGCTGCTGAAGGCTCCTGGCAGTCACTCCAGCGCTTCGGGGACCTGACATCAGGATCTGTGCAGCTCAGGCCCCATCAAAGTTTCGACAGTCCAGCGTTTCCAACAGACAGGAGAGAGTTCCCAGTACTTTGAGGGTCTTTGATGGGCTGGGTTTCAGAAGATCGGCCACGAGGTCATCCCAGCAACAAGGTTCATGTTCTTTTGCAGTGCTGCTTGACCATGAGTTTTGCCATGACCGCGGCCCAGGCTGTCGGAATTGTGGTTGTATGCTAAAGATACATGCGCCGGCCAGTGTGTCAGGATTCCTCCACATGCAGCTTCTTGGCTTCATCTCGGCATTTTTCGTGAATGTGATGCCTTCGCTTTTCTTTCCTGCTTTGCAGATGCCCCAGAGTGATGAGGACGCTGCCATACTAGTGGACCCTTTGTTTGAAACCCCATACCACCCTAGCCCTAGCCGTAAGTGCCCCACCGAGCTTTGATTCAACTTTCGGTTTTCAAGTGGCTCAGTTAGATCTGGTCTTGTCCACCGGAGGCCTGCAATTTCGAAGTGGCCAGTGCCCAGGGGCCTGAGGGCCACTTGTTAGCAAAGTGAGATCTAGTAAAAGGGTAGCACTGACTTGAAGGCAGCCGCTTCAAGCCACCCCACCCCACTGGCCACCCACACGGGAAATTTGAATCGGCTTGAGCACGATCTTTTGTCGTCTGGTGCGGAGGAGGTCGTAGGAGGTCCTCCGAATTCCCCGAACAGCCAGAAATCTGCTTGCGAGACCCCGACAGTTGGTAGGCCTGCATGTGCAGGCATGCGACTACTCCCTAACTGCGCCGGGCAAGCTCAGTGGAGGCTTCGTGCTCCGCTCGGTGCCGCTCGCCTGGGGTTCATAGGTCGGACGACAGCAGGTTTGGCGGGCGTGAACCTTAGCCTTTGTGGTGTCGAGGTGACACACTACTTGCACTGAGAAGCCCTGCCGCAACGCAGATTCGGGTTATCACATCAGTCACAGACTCTTGAAACTGCTTCGTTGCTGAGGTCACTACCTGGTCTGTCTATGAGCTGCAGTTCTTCAGCGATGATCTCTGCGTCCTGGCCGTGCTGGCTTCGGCAAGCTAAGTTGCAGTGCAAAGGTCCACAGGCAGTGTAGATCCAAGGCTCAAACAGCTCGGTACATGTTTTATGTCACCCGGCAGCCTGCGAGGCCCCAACAAGGCCACATGGTCGGTGCACTTGACCCCTTGAACAGAGAGTTTGGCACAGCACAGAAATCCACAAGCAGAAGACGAACAAATCTGACCTGAAATCAGGTGGCTAAGCTGGGACTTAGCAGTTTTGTGGTCGTCGTAGTAGCGTAGTCGCAGCAGCAGCAGTAGTATTACTCGTCGTTGTTGTGGTGGAAGTGGTGGTGGCTTTAGTGCAAGTATTAGGGGTAGGCGTATGTATGCATGCACGTCTATATACATATATACAAGTATACACATGTAAGCACATGTAATAGAATAGAATAGAGCTACAGAATACTTTATCATATATGTTCACATAGCAGAATAGCATGTCATCTACTGTAATATTACATAAGATCATAGTTTATTACATGATATATACACTCATTCTCAGAGGCACCTATCCTGTTCTCGGCATCACCTTCGCGCAGCCACGAGCCAGTGTCGACCGCAGCGAAGATGGCGACCTGGCCACAGCCGTTCGGATCGCAAGAAAGGGCCTGGATGGGGGCTTGATTATAGGCACAAAGCATGCGCGTCGATGATCATTGGGTTGAAGATGGTTTTGATATCATGGCTGAGAGCATGGCCTTGGGAGCTGCATTAGGGCCATGGCCGCTACAGTACTATTCACTGCAAGCACCGCCTGCTGAACGGGCAAAGCAATCAAATGCTGAAGCCCGACACCCAAACTGCACACTCTAGCTTTGGTCAGGCTTGGTTTTCAGCTACCAATACTCAAAGCGCATGGATCGGCATGGTGCCACTCTCAGCTTGCATGCAGCAGTCAGCTTCCATTGTAAATCAGGTTGCCCTCCATCGGGTCCTGCTTTCTTGGAGACAGTTGATGCAGCGAGCTGTGATGCGGATCTGCGACAATCAATATTAACCTGAGGCCTTGGACGAACCTTTCCCAGTGGAGTGCGTGGCTGGGCTGCAGACATGCAAGCAGCTGAGCAAAGCACACCTCGGTGCGTTTCAGCTGCTCTACATATCTTTCCACATCTTTCCACTGGTGTGGTCTGTTGTGCTGGGTCAGTCGGCTTACGTCGAGTTCGAGCCTGCTTAAACTGGCTTGAACTGGACAACCGCAGCAATTCACATCCTGGCAGGGTTTTATACTTCACGTCGCCTCACTTGCTTATCTAACATCGAACCAACTCACGGCAGCAAACTTTCTCGAATCCAAACAGTCTTGTGCAATATGAACCTAGCCACCAAAGGATGTATCATCCCGAAGTTAGCACAACTGTGACGATAATCGTCAAGGCCGCGCAATGGGTTGGGGCCAGGTTCGTATCGCTCAGCACTTCGAGTCGCAGAGTTCGACAGCGCAAGATCTGGAGGCAGATCGTTGTGGAGGGCCTTGAGCTGTCTTTTTGGCTGCGGCTTTGAGTTCCCCAGGGAGCGGAATGAGCGGCACAACAGACTTGTATGCGTGCGTCGACGTCTGCGTCCTGGCGCAGGTCTGGAATGGGACCATGTGGATAGTCAATCGCACGCTGTGGCTTGTACGAAGAATAATCAAGGTCGCCTGATCGGTGCAATTAGTTAGCCATTGGGGGACAGGGACCTGAAGTGAACTGTGCTGTGAACGCCCGGTGAATCCGCCTGAAGCTCTTTGCAGTAAGTAGTCGCTTCCCGGAAACCTCGCCTGACTCCGCCGAGTGCTGGTGCCCAGAACAATTGGCCACTTTTGTTTGTTGCATCATCGAGATCTCTGACCGAGGACCGTTCCACCACCGGAGATTGGCCAGTTCCAGCATCTGCCTCCGCCCAGCCTTCCAGGCAGGGCAACCTGTGGACCGCAAATGTTCGCTGTTTTATGCAGTTTAGCCGTTTAGCCCTTTACCCCGAAACCAAAAAACCCTAAACGGTAGACCAGTGATCAACCCTCAGAAAAACCTGAGTTCTAGGCAGCCTGCCCTGACAGGTGGCTCACAGCGGGCAGCCTCAGCCTTGCACTGGATTCTGTTACTGTGTTAGGTGTTTTTCATACATCGGTGTGTATATTGTATATATATATATATATATTTATAGATACATACATAAAGATAGATAGCGTTGCAGTACTGACATTCCGTAGAAATGGTGGGCACAGGCATTGGCTAGGGAGCAGTCCCGTGCAATCCACGGAGAAAGCTCGAGAATGTGAGGAGCATAAAGGAGAAGCCGCACGAGCTGATTAGCATGCATGAGCATTTTAATTGTACTTCAAGTCTTGGAATATTACTGTATGTCAAGTTGTACTACATTGTTCCAATATACATACATACATACATACATACATGCATGCATGCATGCATGCATGCATGCATGCATACATACATACATACATACATACACATATTTATATATGTACACACACACACATATATATATATATATGTATATATATATACATTTGTTTAGTTACGTGCATATACTTCCGGAGTATCTTGGCTCGAAATCTCGAGACTTGCGCTTCGGGTCATCGAAGGAAAGACATGTCCAGGCGCCTGTGAAGTTTGCAGATCGCGGTTTGGGCATGTACAAGTCTGTGCAAAAAGGGTTTGGGGTCTCTGGAGGTTCCTGACTCTCGAATATGGTTACCAAGGCTGGGGCCTTGATTCCTAGTTCTGAGCAACAGTAACATGCAAAGTTGGACTTTGTCCGGGATTGAAGTTGAGGGTGATATGACGGGGTCGACGTGCTGAACGTGAGAAGGGGATTGGAGCGGCGTTTCTGGAACCTCTCAGACTACTCTTACGTGCTCCCAGTGTAGCTCTGCCCTGCGCGCAAGCCTGCAAGATCGTAAGACATCCCATCGTTGCACAGGCACTTCGTCGAGGAGATCAGCCGCTTGTTCGCCCTTGTTTTCTCAGACTTGTGTGTAGTAAACTTGCTGACGGGTTTGGTTTGCATGTGCTGCGGGTGTGGAAGCCAGACTACACGGATGCTCTGCATCAAAAGGGTCTGTTGCCATCCAAGGTGCACTCGACACTTGGCCGAGCTTTACTTTCAGGTATAGGTGCCCGTCTGCTCCTGCCGGGCGACGACCAGGGGTTGTGGATAAGCATTGCTAGTTTACAGGACTACCACGGGAAGAAGCTGTGCTAACAATGCACTTGGGACTATGATGTGTTTGCTCTTGTTGCTTTCAGGATCAAGAAAACTCTTCGAACTCCGACGGAACCGACAACTACTTGCATCTCAGCAGCAGCCGGCTTGCTGCGAATGAGGTTTCAGATGTTTTAAGTAAGCTGTCCACAGTAGGTTGTAACTTTGCCTACCTATGCCTTACTCGGTCATCGGCTTGCAAAGATGTCCCTAAGAGCGCGTCACCAAGGTTGGAAGACGGAGAGGATATTGACGTGTTGGCCTGAGAGCAGAGATGGACTCTGAAGCTGCTTCAGGTGGCAAAAGGACCCGCAGTAGCTTGTGGCTTCTGGGGAGTTTCAGGAAAGTGCGGGTCCGTGATTTAGGGATCTTTATGGCTCCTACACGGCATCTATAGATGGTCAGCCTTTCCTGCTGGTGTCTGGGAAATACAATCAGACTTGTGTCGTGCGCAGTGTCTGATTGTTTGGCCACGTGCCGCTCAACCTGCAGTCGGGTCCAGTCCCTCAACCACTAACGGACGTCAAGAGCCAGTTTAGCTGCTGCGAGCTTCAGAAGCCATACTGTTCTTGAGTTCAAATGGCTGGCAATGAATCACGCCGAGGCCATCAATGCCTCCTTGAAGCAGATCGATCGTGCAGCTCAGCTTCATTTGCCTCACCATTCATGTCTGTAGCAGAAGTCTGCGCTTGTGCAGGGGCTGTGCGCACTGCACGCTGTCCATTGCTGTGCATGACTGAAGTGTTATGGGCATGTTCATCCACAGAACGAGCCTGTCTTGCACTTTGGGCCCCCTTGAGACGACAGTCACAGACATGTTGCTGTTCGGTTCAGTTCGGATTTGCCGCATGCACATTACGCGGAATGCACCAGCGCCAGGGGAATCCGTTGAACTTGAACTGCCGATGTACTGACCCGTTGTTGACCATGCGAGTATTCATGACGTTCCCACGGAGCAGTTGTGCAATGGCTTGGAGCATCCGTAATTCTAATAAAGGCTTGCATTCGCAACTTGCTTTACCTGCCCAAGGAGAGGGGAGACTTGGAAGTGGAGTTGACAAGATGGAAGTCCCGTGTGCAAAGGCTGGTTCCATCAACCCGAGTGCTGTCAGGTGGTCACATCCGGTTGTGCGACACGTCAACCATCAACTTGAATCTGAAACTGCCTTCTGCATGGCTTTCAGAGATTCGGACACTTGACTAGAAGCCTGTGGCATGGACACATGTGAAGAAGGAGGAAGCACACTTTGCTGGGCTGCAGTAGCTTCGTTCACCCAGATTGACCCAGATGTTTGTTGCCATCTTTGTTAGTAGTAATCATATACTGTAACATGCTATAACATGTATTATACTATATGATACAATATAGCATAATATAATATACGGTTCTATAATGCTATATGATAGCATATTATTGTCACGTCGGCTGCCAAGGTCTGCTCGCAGATACTGAGGGAAAATCAGGTAAATGGTAGCAGTGACGTCATGGGACCTAGAGACACGCCGAGTCTGGCAATCTGAAGCAACCACTTGTCATTGTCACACTTGTGGCTGGAAACCCAAAGGGTCCAAGTACTAGTTATAGTATATACTTTGGGGGCCCAAAGACCTACTAAGTACCTACTATAATGGTACTTGGACCCTTTGGGAAAGCTGGGGAGCGATTTGTTGACAACCGGCCACGAAGCGCCAGCTCGAAGCCTTCCACGCCCCAGCCCAGACGTTTAACATGCTGGGAGTTGATATGAAAGTCCCGACCTCACAGGGTGGAGTCCGAGATCAAGCAGCTCAATGTGTCGCGGCATGGTGAAGAGCGGTGGGATCGACTATGCCAGCAAAGGGGAAGACAGAGAAGACAGCAACCCGAAACTGAAAAAAGTGCACCAACTACAAAACCCAAGCAGGACGCATGAGGGGGAGCAAAACTCACTGGGTGTTCGAAGGTTTCGGGGTTGCTCCCTTCAAGCGCCTCAGCACTATCTGTTTAAGATAATGTGTAGAACAGAGCAAGATTCCGGTATCCACCAGGAGCGGATTCCAGAAGTACTTGTAGTAGTGTTGGGTTCCATTCGGTCTCGGCAGCGTGCTATAATGTGCTATATCTCACCCCCTTCATGCTAGTGCAGGAGGCTGAAATCCGTCCGCTGGGCCGTGCATTTTTCCTCGGGTCTGGCCGGTTGCTCCACGGTGTCGACACCCTGACAATGTCGAATCTCATGTAGCGTTACCCGAAGAAGACCGATCTTAGCAGACTCGTTCCAGTGTTAAGGCCGAGGCTCCACTGCAGCTTCTATAGACTCGATAGCATTTCAGGGCCCAGGGTCTGTGTCAAAGAGACAGGGTTTCGGGTTTCGGCGCCTCTGGGGTGATTGCGGCAGGATGGGTTGCACCACCAGTATGGATGGGCACAGGACAGCCATGTGGACGATTGAGCCTTAAACCTGTAACAACCCTATAAGCCCTCCTGCCTTGTGCGAGCGTGAGGTTTCAAACCCTAAACCCCAAAGCCTGAGGCCAGAGAACAGATGCTGAATCACAAGCTGGATCTCAGCCTGAACCCCGGGAAGGGGCTTTCGCCTCTAAGGGCTTCTTGTGTAGTCTGCCTGGTCTTCTGCTTTCGGTGCTGGTGCATTAACGTCTACCGCCTGATCGCTGTTCAAGTTCTTTCGTGCTGCAAGTATGGCGGGGGGGGCAGCTTGTGTTGACAGCTGCGTTGACACCCCTCGGCTGCACACAAACCTTTGCAGGTACACGATCAGAGATCGACCACGAAGTCGAGGAGATCCCCCCCGGCCCTGAGTGCCTGCAGTTCGTGGATGGAGCCTTGGTGCGATTTAGGGTGGAGATTTGCACGCTAAAGGTCGCAAAGAACAAGTACGGAAGGCTCAAACAGAGCAAAAATGTGGGCTGCCGGCAATCCGGAAGCTCAGGAAGACCGCGGGTTTGGGTCAAAGTAGTTGCCCCAACGTACCAGAACAGGTGAAGACGTACTAGTCACATGTCAGTTTCGACAAGCTTGAATCGACATGCCGCAAGTTGTGGAGTCAGCCGTGTTGCGGCGCTTGCTCGCCTGTCGGTTGCGCGTCAAAGTCTGAGTGTAAGCATGAGAGGAAACTCAGCGTGCCGACTATTCGGCACAGGACAGCACCGCATGAAAACCGCCAGCATCGATCAGACGAACAACACAAGCAAAAGGCCACCGCCCCACCACCGCCGCTACCACCACCTCGACCGCCACGATGACCACCCCGACAACTGCCCAAGGCAATGCTTTCAACTTCCTCTCCATGCTGATTGCGGCCTGGCTGCAATTCTACGGCCCTACGACTGTGCATTGCCGTGGCCGTCTACGACGCCATGACACTCCCGTTTTGCAGTCGGGGGTGCGACCCTACAGCCTGCAGTCGTTCAAAGAACAGACATCCTTCCTGATCCTTCCTGTGCCAAGGTCTTCATGAACGTGGTGGTCATGTTTGGGAAACACTTTTGGGATCCGATGATCTCAATCAAGGGAGTGTCTTGGCTAGCAAGTCCCACAACTAGTCCTTCAATGCGATGCATAGAGGCGCAGATATCTACAATCTACAAGGTACAAAGTTCATCCGTTGGCAAGGGGCGAGATGCGATGACATCCGACCCACTTCATGCAAAGGACCTGTGGTACGTCGACCAAGCTTTCCTGACCTTCTACGTTATCGTGTTGGCCTTACGAGATTTACGGGCTCTGACACTGTAGTGTCTTTGTCGGTTCGAGCTGCACACGTCGCGGGGGACGTAAAGCTCCAGTCGCATGTGAAAGCTGCATCTGCCATTCCTCTCCGCAATGCGATGCAAGAAAATTAGATGCAAGAAATGCTTTGCTGCCGTGCTTGCATGCCGACGGTGTCTTTGAGTGCTGAGCCGAAGAGGTCAACAGTTTGAGCAACTGTAGAAGAAATCCGTGACATCCTTGAGGAGTTGGCCATGCGTTTCGCTTTGTGGCATGACTCGCTGCTTTTCCACCGTCCTCTCTGGAAGACCTGGTCTCTTGGCCACAAGCAGAGGATTCACGAAACACAGGCAGGGCACGAAGCGGAAGCATATCCGGCTGATTTTTCGGCATTTATGCTTTTGGGTGATCTTTCCCTCATCCAGTCACAGTCGCACGGTCCTTGCTCTGAGCATGAAGCACATGTTTGGGTTGAGTCGTCAGACGAGGTCTTATTGGCTGGACACCCTCATCGTGCCTCTTGGAAGCAGAGCTGAGGAAGGGAAGTGAGTAGCAAGCCTGTGCCGCAGCCTCATCGCGTTGTATCTCAACAGCGAGACGCCCAGGGTCGTCTCCATCCTGGAGCAGTGGCTGCTACCTTTATTCTTCAACCACGAGGGCATGGGCTTCGGCGCCTTCCGGATCTTGAGGCCTGGAGCTTGCAGTGAGTTGGCCTCACAAACTCGTTTATGCTGCGGAACTTGTGCAAAAGGAAAGGGGCATACTACAGAAGCCTGAATACTTACTAACATCATTTCCTAGGGCTCCTGATTAGAAGTGCACTCTACTATACCCAATACCCAGTAATTGATCAAGGCCAGTGGATTACGCTGGCCCTTCTCTGATGAAGCCTCACACCTTTCTTGTAGTATCATACTCCTGAAAAATCCTATATCCTAATCATGAAGGCCAGCCTTGAGAACCCCAGAGCCTTCAGTGGCCGTCCGGCTCAGGATCTTCCGATTCGCCCGAGTTCTGCGGGTATGCAGCAAGGCGGACACTGCGCATCCTAAAGGGGTTGGAATAATCAGGGTGAAGGGGTTACTTGTATACCGGATATACTATCATAAGTCCCCTTGGCAAATACTTCAGGCTTGTGATAAGTCTAGGGCTTCAAGGCTCTCTTGACACTTTGTGGCCAGCACTTTCACAGCCAGCCTCGGTGGCTCTGTTGAGGTGAACAACGCTGGTTCTAGCTGGGCGGAAAACGACTACTTCATGGCCTTCGTGCGCCTTGGAAGAGAGAAGCGGCCAAGTCATTGCTGCGCCTTGAATCTTTGTATAGCAGAGTGGAGACGAATTCGGCGAAGCATTCGGTACTCATATGGCATGGCGGGTGTTCATTGTATTCCCAGCTTCGGGTTGCTTTCATGTTAGTTTCCTGGACCTGGAGCGAGCAAGGATGTGCGTGATCTTTCTCAACTGCATTATGATGGGGGTTCAGGCAGGGCACGCCCGTCCTAGCACAACGCGCCAATGCTCGGTTCTGATTGTTGTTCTTATTTCTGATGCTGAAGCCGCCAACTGAATCACAGTGGCCTCGCAGAAGTGTATGCATTGGCGAGCGCAGGAAGACTTTCCAGACCTCAGTTGCTGGGTCTACTTTGAGAATCTCTTTCTTGGCATCGAGCTCAGTGCAGACATGGCTTTTCAACATGCGTCGTCGCCGAACTGGACAAACCGGCAGGGTCATTCCGCAACAGCCTTGGAGAGTGAGGCATCTTCATGTTTGAGATCATCATCCGCATCAGCCACTTCGGCTTGAGGTTCTTCTACAACGATCAGTGTCGTGGCTGCGCAGAGCAGATTTTCCGCTTCGGTCTTCACTTCCGGGTGCTTGACAACATGCATCAGCCCTTGGCAGAACAAGCTTCGGGACAAGTCCTGACATGAGTGATCTCCTGAGTTCTTTTCCCGTGATCTCAACGACTGGCTCACTGTCTGAACTTTAAACTCTGCCGGAAAAGGTGGGTGTTCAACTGGCTCGACTTCGCAGCTGGCATGCAAGTAGATTCGTGCTGGCAGACTCACGTGACTTTTGCAGTTTCACGAGCGAGGTCATTGTGGCCGGCGGCACCCCGCTTGCATGCAGAATGATTTCATGTTAGATCCCTGCAGCTGGTTTGTTTAGTTGTCATTCGGGGTTTATGTGTGTGAAGTGGACCTGGCGGACACCGCCTGCAGTCACAGATGACGCCCAGGTGTTCTGGATCAATGGTTCATGCCTCTCTACAACCTTCTCACTTCCGAGGCGAGCACGCGGCCTTCAGCATCTTGTCATCGCCTTCACTGTCAACGGCAGCAACAACTTCACAATGATGTCCAGCACCACCGTCGATGCCAGCGTACATCTGACCATCTTCATCAGCATCACATTCACCAGCCCGCCGCCGCCACCACCACCACCACCACCACCACCACCACCACCACCACGGTCATCTTGATCATGAACATCATCTACTCCTTCTTAGCACAACGAGGATCACCCTTTTTCCCTGGCATCATCAAAACAACCACGAGCACATCAACATGCCGCCACTGCTTGGCTATCATAATGACAGCAATAGTGTCAATAGTGCACGTCAGTGCCGTGGCTGTTGCACAGCATGATTCATGGTCATGGTATATCGTGATGTTGATGCTGGTGGCGGTTGTGCTACTAGAGACGATTATGATGTTGTTGATCATAACATCTACAATCATGATCGCAATTGTAGTGCTGGGGCTCTTTAGACAACAGTGGTCATGGTGTTAATGATGGGTGTCCTTGTCGTCATTCTCGAGACTACGGTTACCGTGTGACTGCGGATATGCCTGCAGTCCGGATCTGCATCCAATCCGAATGCGAATGCGGAGGCTGGCGTTCAGGATGACAACGACAACTCTTTGAGCATCTCAGCAGCACTTGTCACATGCTTCTCTTCATTGCTCTCAGCGGTTGGCGTTCCAGGCCCTTAATTGTTCCAGGCCGCTTTGTTGGGTTAAGACGGCATCGTGACGTGGCAGGATGTGTGACAGATAGGTCCCTAAGAGCTTGCCAACACGCGTGCAAGCGTCGGCCACATCCGCCGACCAAAGACATTCCAGAACCTCCCGAGTCGCAAGTACCTACCCCTCATAAAACACCCATAGCAATCCCAAGCTGCAGACCAAACAGTCACAAACGGTGCAGAGTTCGACACAGTAGCTTTGACAGCTGATTTGCTTGCGGCCTGCCTCCGAGGCAATGTAATGAACATGCTGAGGTCTCTTGGGCAGCACATAGTCTCCTGCGGCAGTCGCAGGGCTGGCCTTGCCATGTAGACAAATCATGGAAAGAAGTATGTAACCTATGAGCAGCGGTGCGGCATCCTGCAACTTACACAATGTTTTTTCAGGAGAGTGAGCCCATGGCAGAAGGACTGAGTGTTATGATGCCGGCGTGATCTAGCAGCAAAGCTGTTGAACCGTCGGGCATACCGTCATGAAGTCGTCGCGCTGCATTGTTGTGTTCTTGATGAATTTCTCTCGCGTTTTCTCACAGCGAAGCGACATCCGGTGACGAAGAGATTTGTCTGCATGCATATGTAGTTTTTCGGCGGGGGGCAGCAGAGACCCTGGAAGACTTGCTCAACCCATGCGTGCAACAGTCGAAATCATTGAACTGAGGCAGTATCGACAGACCTTAGCGAACATGCCTCGCCTGGCTGTCTGAGTGTGAGCGTCCAAACTGAGGATGCTTCGACTTGCTGCTTGTCCGCATAGATAAGCGTCACAGACAAACTGTCATGTTTTCGGTTGTGAGCATCTCAGAATCAAGATATGCAAGACTGCCAACTGCAGATATCTGCGGATATTGTGATTGCGATTGCCGCTCTTTTTCGTATTCTTCTACTTTACTGTTAACAAATGTTCTTCTTATAATGACAACAATATTTGCAATTCATTCTGCTTGTCGGTCTGACTGTTTACATATATATATATATATGCATACGCACGTACAGAAGGGTCGATCCTGGGATGTATATGTATATGTATATATATATATATATATTATGGGTCTACACATGCGTACATACATTTTGTCTATACGTATAGGACAGTTCACAGCCGGGAAGATGTCACAGCGCGATCAACAGTGCATGGGACGACCACAGTGTGCCGTGACGAAATCAAGCAGTATTGAGCAATGGACGTAGAAAGCCGTGTGCTAGGGTTTGGGGTTTACCTCTCCGTGTCGGTACACGAAGTGCGCATTTTCATTTTAAGAATGATGGTAGTGATTCTGAATTAAGAAAATAGGAATACTTACATCAATAGTAAAAACAATAAGAAAGCGATGGTAAATAGTATTTGAATATTAGTACTGATAACAAGCAGAGTAATAGTAATGAGGAATGATAACAGTAGTAATCATACTGACACGCGTAATACTACTACTACTACTACTACTACTACTACTACTACTAGTAATAATAAAAATGATCGTAATAATCTTAGTCTTGATAAGAATGGTAATTGCAATGATGGGAGACCAGGTCCGGCTCCTTCGGTTAGTGCGCCTGGAATCTTGCCGGCACTCACATGGGGGCACCTTGTTTTGTAATGTCAGGCGGTCGAGGCTCCGCATGGGGTCTGTGGAGTTTAGGGTTCAGGGGCTTCAGGGGTTTAGGGTTCAGGGGTTTAGGGTTTTAGGGTTCAGGGTGTAGGATAAAAGTGACTTGCGGCTTGTCTTCCGTCAGAGGTAAGGTTGTCCCGCCATACTTATGCCCTACCAACCAGGAGCACAGATTCCCGCATGTCACGCTGAAGCATCCACCTCAGAGCTCAAAACAGGCTTCAAAGCAAACGGTCGTCAAGGGACGACGCCTCAGGTTCGTGGCATCCCTCCGCTCTACAACCTCCTGAAGGGTATCATCTCAGCCATGCAGGGCATGGCCTGGCACTTCGGATGCAATGAACTGCCAAAGCTGTTGGGCTTCTTGAGATTAGTCTGTGCAAAGCCAAGGTTGCTGCTCCTCACCGTCGCCGCCACCTGTCTGCATGGCCATCAATCGCACCAGCAGGGCCTGCTGTTTGTGTTCGTGTGCGCCCGTATGTGTGGGGGACATGGGCTCAAAGCTCAAAACGGTGACTGGCCCAGAGCTACACTCGACAGGATGACTAGACAGAATGGCCTGCAGTTATCTGCCGTTCTGCAAACTTCACATTCAGCAACCAGCAAAGATGATACAGGACTTCGGATCTGGCTGCACGGGCATGCGGACTTTCCTTCATGCAGAATTCGAGTCAGAATCTCGCCTTCCCGGAGCGTCAGACTGCTCCTGGCACTAACGTCGACCGGCTTCTCGGCTTAACGTGTGTGCACAATAAGATCACAACCTAGCCAAGGTCATCTACATCATTGCCCTGGTTGCAATGAAGCTGATGGGAAAGGAGCGGGGCACAGCGCTATCATGCTGCGTCATTTGTTGTGGTCACTGTCAGTTTTCTCGCTCTCTGGTTTCACTTAGGCTCGGAGTTGTCCTTGCACTGCCGGGTAGTTTCCGCAAGCAACCCTGACATGTAAAGGAACCTCTGAGGGAACCCTTGACGGAGCAGTTAAAGGACCCCCGAAAGGAGCCCTAAAAGGAAGCTGAGCTGTTCCTTCTCTTGAGGACGGCCTGGTCACCGCTGCTGGTTCTGAGGATGTCAGAGGTGTGTTCCCATCAGTCGGCACCGAGCTTGCAATGGGGCTGGGGAATGTGTCTGTATATAAAAATATATATGTATAAATTTCGTACTACAGAATGTGATAAATGCCTTATTTGTATTTTTGGGAAGTATATGTGTGTGTATATATATATATACATAGTTATATACATGCAAACGCACACGCACATATATGTAACATTATGTGGCATGGAATCTGAAAGGTGCACAACGACGGCCTTCAGGGGCGATGGCAGCCTACGTAAAAGAGGTTAAGCATGTGAGGACGTATATTGAAAGTGCATGTGGATAGACACATACTCGTGTTGCACATATCCCCTTAACTGGGTCAAAACGTATACCTAAATTCAGATTGTGTGGAGCCTTGCCGGCCTTGTGCGAGTGTGCGGCCGAAATTCAGACTCTTGTGCATTCATACATGTGCATATGGTAACATGTCAACAAAGCGCCGGCAATTCAAACTATGATGCTCTTCAACAAGGTATAAGTTCAAGCGGCTAAAAAGGTGGTAGGCTAGTCAAAGTTGAACTATACCGGTTAGTAGGTGTTGTACCCAACGGCAGCGAGAATCGTCATGAATGTATTAAAGGCAATTGCACCGCCACGTTACTGGCAACGTCACTGAAATGATTTTTCACATCCTTGGACTCTCTGCTTCCGCCGCAGCCGTTACCTCGGACGGCAATCCCGGCGGCCCCTTTCGAACTCGACGCTTTCGTTGATCTCGCCAGGCCAGTCGGCATGGCAAGCTCCATTCACTGCGCAAGGGCTTGACAATGACTGCGGGGATCGAGCATGCTGTCAGAGAGTGAGCTTGTGTGTTTCCGCACCCTCCCCCTGCTGAGCAACCTGCCCTGTGTCAGAAGAACCATGGCTGGCGACCCCACACAAGCAGAAGAGGATAAGCCTCCAAAGATGACTCTGGAGCAGCTTGGATCAAGAGCCGATCACGGCTTTGCAGGGTGAAAGCAGCTGTAAGAAATCCATAACCCAGGCAGGCGCAGGAGCACGTTGAGTACGACCTCTCCATGAAGCAGCTTGGCGGAAGTTCTTAAGTGCAAGTCCGATGCCTGTCGTCTTAATGCAGCGGTACTGCTTTTGCTTCAGTGACAAGTGGCTTGCCTTCCCGACATGTTTTGAGGATGGTGCCTTTCCTGGACAGACATCTCATCTTCCCAGTCTTCAACTTCCTGCAGGCCCGGTGGAGCTTTCTCAAGTGCCGTACACATGGATTGTCTTTGCTGTTGGTGACGAAACCGATGTGCGTTCTACTCCTAGTCCTAGCATGAGCACGAAGGGTTTCAACATCGAGTTCTAGGCAAGCCGGAAAGGCCGTACGCGGCAGCCCATGCCCATTCTGCAGGAGACTGGCCTGTACAATCAGACCGCTATCCAGCGAGCGCAGCTGACGCTGCTCGCGGAAACGAATCGTGCCTGATTTGTGACCTATCACGGGCTAGAACGGCCTATAAGCACATGGTATCCACGAATTATTGTGTGGTAGCTCACGGCCACCCCTTGCAACAGCTTTCGTGAAACTATGGAAAACCAAGTAGCAGCACAGCGTTGCGCATGACTGGGTCAACGCGAGCCTGCATTTCTGTCTGGCCGAGGAACATGATCGACTGGGCTCTGGAGACTTACACCATGATCGGGGAAGAGCAGCCGCAGGAACTCATTGACAGGCACGAAGCATGCCGGTTATTCTGGTGTCGTAGGCGAATAGTGATTCAGTCTTCCTCCCTTCGCACAGCCAGAGGTAGCTCCAAGGCAGAGGGTACTCGGACATTCTGAGAACCCTTGAAGTTGAGTGGATGGCAAGCCTGCGACAAGGCGAGACTTGGTGCTACAGCAGCTAGAGCTGTCGCGCGAGAAGGCCGGTATCCGTGAACCACAGCTGTCCACAGCCGCAAGCCAACACAGCCTCTGCTGCGATTCGTTTTTCGATCTGTTTGGCACCGCGTAAACCACTTGAACATAGGAATTATTTGAACTAGGCGCCGCTCGGTGCAGGTTCTGCCACTGCTAGAAATTCTGGAGGCCGGCTGCGAACATGTTTCTCACTTGCCTGGAACAGCAAGCGTGATCTTTCTAGACATCCTAGCCCTCATGGCCCAGTCGATGCTCAGGAAGAGGAGCAGGTAGAGAAGGTGGCGAAGTGCAAGACTCCTGTCAGCATCTAGTTCCTCCTCTTCCCGGGTGCTGCCAAGTTTTGCCTTGAGCCCAGAAAAGCCTTGGTAGAAGTACTATGGCAAGGACGATCGAGGAGCTGTGCACGACCTTCAGCCTCGACCCGTCTGTGATCGACGGACAGCAAGCGAGTTGCGTTGACATTCCGTCGGACGTTGAAGAGCTTGCAGATGCTGAAAGCATGAAGTCAGAATCTTGCGCAGGGTGTTGGAGGGCATCTGTTGAGAAGGCCGTGTGTTTTCGTGGCAGGGACTTCTTTTGCCAATAAGGTCTTATCACATTGGCAGCAGCATTGTCTTGACTACGGGGTCTCACTCCGTGATAGTTCTCGAAAGAAAAAGGGATTTTGTTCGTAGCGGTCGTAGGGGCTTAGCTTTTCGCATGCCGAAAATCTTCCTTCAGTGCAGGACTTGTGCATTATGCAAAGTTGCAGTACGACTGCGGGAACTACACCTTGAGTGGTGAGCTCCTCAAGCACTACAGGAGGATGATCTCCCAGGACTCTTGCTGAAACGACCTGATCGCAGTGGGACTCCTGGACCATGATCATCTCTCCTTTGGCATGTTTTGTAAGATGTCGACCCGTTTCATCGCAGGACGCCGAACGCCCAGTCATGACCTCTAAACAGGCCAGGCCCGACTGTGTGCAAGGTCCGTCTGCTTTGCATGGCCTTTAACTGGAGCTTGGGGCGATGGCTAAGCCGAGCGGATGCAGCATGTGCACTAGGCGAACATGTTTCCCGCCTAACAGAGGTCAGTTGCATTTGGGGCACGCTGGCGTCCTTCATCTTGCCATCCGGCTGAAAAGAATTGGCATGAAGAGGAAAAGCAGTATTTGTGCCACACCACTGGATGCAGCATGGTGCAGTGTCTCTTTGCTGCTTGCATTGATTTGCAGTCTGTTGCCCAGGAATCGTGAATTTGAGGAGGCGCGGGCTTACCCTCGTTTGCCAGCTCGGCTGATCACCATGTAGAGTTCAATGGTTCAGTGTATAGTATAGTGAAAGTGTGAGTACACAGTGGGTCACGGTACAAAATCGCAAATCCCGTTTGATTTGGCTCGAACCTAGACAGTAGGCCTACGCGTCTTCAATGCGTTGTCGTCATCGTCATCGTAATTCGTAGTAGTCGCACCGTAGTGATGGTCATGATTATGGCCATGTGGTCATAGTGGTGGTGGCCGCGGCAGTAGTAGTAAGTGGCAGCAGCAGTAGTAGTCTTGTAGTAGTAGTATTAGGTCGGAGTAGTAGTAGTAGTTGTAGTAGTAGTAGTAGTAGTAGCAGTAGTAGTAGTAGTAGCAGCAGTAGCAGTAGCAGTAGTAGTAGCCGTTGCCGTAGCCGTAGCCGTAGCCGTAGCCGTAGCCGTAGCCGTAGCCGTAGCCGTAGCCGTAGCAGTAGCAGTAGCAGTAGCAGTAGCAGTAGCAGTAGCTAGCAGTAGCTAGCAGTATTAGTAGCAGTAGCAGTAGCAGTAGCAGTAGCAGTAGCTAGCAGTAGCAGTAGCAGTAGCAGTAGTAGTAGTAGTAGTAGTAGTAGTCGTCGTCGTCGTAGTCGTAGTCGTAGTCGCAGCAGCAGCAGCAGCAGCAGCCGTAGTAGTAGTAGTCGTCGTCGTCGTCGTCGTTGTGCTGGTGGTGGTCGTAGTGGTAGGGGTAGGGTATCGGTATTGGTATTGGCAGTGGTGGTGGTGGTGGTGGTAGTAGTAGTAGTAGTAGTAGGAGTAGGAGTAGGAGTAGGAGTAGGAGTAGGAGTAGGAGTAGGAGCATAAGCAGGAGCAGGAATAGGAGCAGGAGTAGTCGTCGTAGTCGTCGCCGTAGTCGTCGCCGTAGTCGTAGT